CGGCAGCGTTTGCTTCACCGAGTCAGCCTGCGGGAGGTAATGGCGGCGCTCTGCCGGCGGTTTGCAGAACCCGACCTCCCGCGTGCGGAGAGACGCGAACGCTTGCCGCCAAATACAAATTATTTTAATAAAAGATGTGGCCAACAGTTGTTAAATATAATGGCAGTTGTTACAGCGTGACTAGCTGTTGTTACCTACCATACGGAGATTTCAAATGAGACTAAAAATAGAATTGGCTCCTTTGAGTTATTTCATAATATACTCTGTCCTCTGTGACAACTGCTGTTTATAACTTTTAAGAATTGCACATCGTAGCTCAGCTCTCACTACCTGCTGCTTCTCCCTTTGGAGATGGGAGAATTTCAGCACAAACAGCCAGGCCCTGTGACATGGGGAAAGGAGAAACGCTGTACAGAAGGCAACAATGGGAAGCCCCGCAGAGTTGCCTTTCATTTCATCCTTTGGAATAAAAACCTGGAATCATCTCAAACCCACCCAGTCCAGGACAACAGAGCAGAATGCCATGGGCGCTCCCACAGGCAACAGCTGTCTGTGTTGCTTTCCAGCTCCTTGAACCAGCCTGGAGCTCCTGTAGCAGAGCACCTGCAGCAGCCGTGCAGCTACAGAAAATACTGGCCCCGAAACAGTTCTTTGTGGAGCCGGTTGCCAGCCCAAAGGATGGCACAATGCCAGAGCAGCCTGCAGTAAATAAAACAGAAATTTTGTCACGTTTGGCTAGAAGCATGGATCGAAGTTGCAGAGAGCATCTGCAATTATTCAGACGCTTCCAAGAGGTTCTTCTGTGACGGCCTTTGCTTCCACCAGTGCTTTCCTGGTTGGCTCTTTTCTGAGGCCGATGGTTTTAGCAAACCTGCGCTACCCTCCTGCATGCTTAATAAATAGAAGAAAATTATAGCAATAAATTATAAATACTCCTACTCTGCAGCACTTCAGTATAGATAACGGGGTTTAGGTAGGTTTAGAGAGAGAGCAAGCAAACTATTCTGAAAGTTGCTAAATGCTTCTCATTCTTAGAAACCATTCCCTGAAGGCAAACTTTAGTAATTTGTAAAAAAAGAAGGGAAAAAGGGGGGGAGGGATTAAAAACCCCACAAAATACAACTTGTTTCTTGAAGCATGTTTCAATGCTTACTGCTGCTCTATTCTTCAAAATGCACATCTGTAGCTAGATTTCATCATGGCAAGGAAACATTTCATAAAAATGAATACAGTTGCCCAACTGTGCCAAGCAGAGGTAGCGAGACCTTTGAACACACATAGTTCTCCACGCCCTCTGCTTCATCTCCTTCTGTCCTAACCATGGGTACCTCTCTCTCTGTCAGCAGCACCTTTCCTGCCTTTATTTACCAGCTTCTCCAGGAAAAGTGCCCTTCCCCTGCCCTCAGGACAACCCTGATCCTGTGTTACATGGGCCGTGCCTTTATATTTGACCTGTTGTGTCACCACACCAGTTACTCAAGTGCACAGACACTGGGAATGCCAGTCTGCGTGTGAGGTCTGTTGCCAGTTTAGCAGGAGGTGGAAATGCTCCAACTCCCCCAAAACCTGGCATGCAGCACATACATTTATAAATGAGCAAGCTGATGCTGTGCTACTTAATGCTGCCACTCCCAGGCTGAATTCCCCCGTGTGCCACCACAGACCCTGGCTGTGACACCCAGAGGGGACCACCCCTATGGACAGAGCCTCAGAGTTCTTCTGCTACAGGTCCTCTTGCCTTACAATGGTACATGGAAAGGAAATGGGCTGTGGTTTGGACCTCCAGAGTACCCCAGATTCCAGCTGTAGCTTCTGCTCGTTGTGGCTGATGTAATCTAGAGTGGTTTAAAAGTGGCTTCAAGGAACAGCACCTCCACAAAGGCTTCTGTAGCTGAGGGAAATGGGAATATGGGCACTGAGGTGTATTTATGCTTAGATACACCCTGCTCCCCTGATCTCTACTCTTCCAATCAGCACCAACTCCCTAGAGAGGCCCAGAGAACAGGGAAGTGGGTGCTGAGGGCAATTCCCCCTCGGGGCCGAGGGACTCAAGCCAGCCCACCCTCTCCAGTTTGTTAGTGGGAGGCTGTGGGACGCAGGCAGCAGTTTACCACCGGCAGAATAACCCCTGGTGCAAACGGCATTTTGTGCTTGCCTCTTGTCTTGCTCCAGGCCCCCTCCCACCACCTCCTCCCATAAGCAGGAACGGAAGCACTTCGAGGGCTTTGCCCGCTACTCCCCAGCTGCCCTCCCGGGCAGGGCTGGACAGCCAGAGAGGTGGACCGCGACCACCACTTCCCCCCGACCGCCCGGGCTCGGCAGCGCCGCCCCCACCGCCACCACCTTCATCAGCTGTGAGAAACGGCTTCCAGGATGCAGGTGATGGTAAGCCATCCTCCCAGCTGTTTGCCTTTGATAGACATTGGAGCAGCTTTTGGCCTTAACGCATCGAAAAAGGTTTGGGATAGAGGCTTTGTTTCCAGCAGAGCCCTTTGATTTCTGACCAACAGAGCTTTCGTTTGGGTCTCAATTGACCCTCCTAAGTAAGAATGGAGTAAATATGCCATACACAGAGCAGAACTGTAAAGTCATCAATACGGTCTCCAAAGTAACCATTTGAAAAATAGACTAAAAAAAAGAAACTTATTCGTCATTTTTTTGCTTTGTTACAATGCAGAAATAAGTCCTAAGGGGATTGTTCTGACTCTCATAAGATTTCAAACTGTAGATACACTAAGACTCTTTGGAAGTCAGAATGATGACTCAAAAGCTGAAAGATGAAAAACAGATGAGGGAAAAGATGTATCTCTCTTTTTGCTAATGTTCATTGAAAAGGTGAGGTCCAAGATGGCTGTGTGTTAAAGATTCACTGTGCTTTTCTACTTAATTGTTTTCTGTTTGCAAAGGACAGATAAATCTTTCAGCTAATTATAGGAGACCAAAATTAGTATTTCTGACATTTGTAAGGTTAGAAAAAGTAAGCAGAAAATAAAACTGTAACTTAGGCTTTTGTAGCATCTTCACACATCAGATAAGGTAGGTGGGTCACAGACACATTTTTTCCTACACAAGTCATTTGCAGGGTTCAGCTGCAGCTGCAGCTCCTTTACACACTGGTTTCTAATTGCAACCATTGCACGTAAACACAGAAAAACTGGACCTCAGCAAATAACCACGTGTACAACTGCTGGACAAAACTTATTCGGCTGTTTATTACATTATGCAATAAAATATAACAATATTGCAAGAAAGTTATGGTTGCAAAGTCATGAAGCAACCAAGTGAAGAAATGACAAAGTTTGATAGGCCACACTTTCTTCCTTGGTCCTCCAAATTCTAGTGCAGAACAGAACTCTGTAAACATTTCCTATTATTTCAGTGAAGATCAGCTTGCTTTATTCTTTAGAATCCTGTAGACCCTGTAAATACATCAATAGGGCCCCTGTAGTCTCAAGAGACAGAGTTTCAACTGATGCATTTTTCCATTTTTTCTACTAGTTATGTACAGGTTTCTTTGTCATCATGAATTTTATCACAATTGCCACAAATTTTCTTTCTCCTTTATAAAAAGAAAGTAAAAACACAGCTTATAGGTCAGTGTGCTTTTAACGATGCTTTTGAACTCTCTGTATCTATGAAGTATGACTATCAAAAAATTCTATATCCAGGAATAAATTGCTGTTCTGAAGTAGGAGATGCTGTGTATGTCCGGTACTGCGTATATGTGTGTGTGTGTGTGTTAAAAAATACGAATCTATTATACATGGAAGGGAACGTAGCACTTATTTCAGTGGAATTATGGCCATTTTCCTGGTCTGTGATTTCGTGTTAAATTGACTAAGTGATGAGTTAAAGTTAATAAGATTTTTCATTCTCAAACAAACCTAAAGCATCTTCTTTGATTTCCCAATAGGATGCTGGTTCAATACGCAGCTATGTAAGCATTTTGCAATATAAAACATGTATTAAACATGCTGTTAATGTCAGTTTACTTTCCTGAAGCTGTGTCACAAAGCTAATGAGTGAATTGCATGGGATTTTTTTCAGATGAATGGGAAAGCAGATTTTCTTTTCATCCTATATCTGATTTGCCACCTCCAGAGCCGTATGTACCCGTGAACAGAAGTTATCCCAGTAAACTAGCAAGAAATGAAAGTAGAGGTAAGTTTGTTCCTCCTCTGCTGTTGGAATATCAGCATGTCATCCTAAAAACAATGTGGATGGAGAGGAGAATGAATGCTGAGGTTTCAAAACTTCTCAGACTAACATCCTGGTCACCCTTCCCCACCACACAGAAAAAGCTAAATACAAGTTCACAGGCACAAGTCCTCTTAAACTTGTATTTGAGGGGGGAATTATTTGCTTTTTAAGTTGGAACATGTATGGTAAGAGACCACCTCTGCCGTTATAGTCAACCCTTCTGCTACAGGCAGCCAGAACCACAAAATCTCCTAGGACTTCCTTCTCATTTCCCATCTAATTTCATGCACAACTCATTTATTCTTGTGCTGACATAATTTTTGAGCTTAGTTATCCTCCCTCCTTGATGTGTTAAACCCCTAATATTTTTTAAGACAATAGTCATATCCTCCTCTCAGCTTTTGAGAGGAGAGCTGGGGTGATTAAATCCGGATGTACTAAACTCTCTTTCTGAGCTATGTTCTCTGATCATCAGGGTTGCTTCTGTATATATTTCAGTTTGATTTTGTCTTTTCCGATCAGTGTTACATGCTGTTCCAGTTCAGGTCTCAACAGCAGCATAAACGTTTCCTATCTTCATTAGTGGTATTTTGCCTGATACACCCAAGGATCAATTTACTTCTTTCACAACCAGTGACATCGGAGGCTCACAGTTATCCTGTAATCATCTGTACCTTCAGATGTTGGTTCCTCCCTCCTGTTTCCAAATGCTGACGTTTTGGTTTGGAGCAGAAATTCCTGTTAGTTTCTAATCCTTCACTTTGCCCTGTTAGCTTTCATCCCATTCATATTACTCCACAAAGAAAGGCAAAGTAATGTATGCATTTTTTATGTTTCCTTCCATGAGTTTGCAATGAAAATTTTCATATAGGGAAAAACATGAAGAGCTTTGAAATGTGACTGTATTTAGATCTTGCCACTTTCATTGAAATTTGCATGTGTTGCAAGTTGCACTGAGGAGGTATGTGTTTGCATAAAATAGTAAGGCTAACAAGAGCTGTCAATCCATTTTGAGAAGGAACAAAGAACTAAAATACATATGCTTTCCAGACATTTGGGGATAGCATTAGTTAAAAATTTTCTTTAGCTCTGTCTGAAGTTCTGATGTTTAATAAACTAACTAGAAACTCTACAAAGCTTTTTCAGTAAAACAGCTAGGCAAGAAAATGAGTAGATCTTCACCAGTTACTGAATTAATGGCTTGGATGTAAATTCCCACTTTAAAAGAAACCAGAAGTAACACAAAAAACTTACTTTCTCTTTTAGGTGGCTCTGGCCGAAAAGAAAGAGGTGCACCCCCCCTTCCACCTATACCAAGGTGAAATGGGTTCTGGCCCATCTTTGGGCGATGTGTTTTAAGATTTCCTTCAAGTCACCTCTCCTGTCCACATCAATGGAAAGTTGTCTGGTTTGCTTTATTTCCACTTTTGGCTTGTCAGCTGGAACAAACTTCAGTCTCTATTACAGAAGTAATAGATGCAGCTTATGAACTATAGTTGCTCAAAGCTATCAATTTTATTTGCTTATACTGCAGGCTGTCACGAAAGGCATTTGGTGGACCATACAAAGCATACGTGCATCATGCTTACCGTGTCCAGCCCTGTCCCCTTGAGAGCTTCATGGGAGGTCTGGCTTTGAATTTAATGAGAGCTGGAACAAAGCTGTGTCATTCACAAAGCTGTTTCATTCACTTTGGGTACAGTGGCTATATTATTTGAATGATAAAGTACAACCTATTTTCTGTTTAAAAAACAGTTGCTGGGGAAAACCATGTAGCCAAGAGTCCCCTGGATCTTCTTTGCATGCCTAACTTGGCCCATCTGCTTCTGCAAGCCATAGACCTACTATATGGTGACCAAGAGTTCATCCAAAACCTTTTAACTTCAGCTTAGCCAAGCAAATCTTATTTTAAAGAATAGATGGCACATACTGCCCTGAGGATGGAGTGTGTCTTGCCTTGTTTTTATTTATGGAGAATCTTCCAAAGAAAAGCACAAGTGAAGAATTCAGCGGCATAAATTTGTTTTTTTAATCCCTCTTTCCTCATTTTTTAATAGCTATGCTTTTAGTCACCTCATTCTTTCCTATTCTGATGTGGACCAGCCCACAGTCACCCGTGTCCTGGATTGCTGTAATGCCCTCTACCTGAGACTGCATGCAAAGAGCCCTCAGAAAGTAGTCTTGGTGCAAATGCAGCAATTGATGTAGTTGCAGGCTCCTGTAAAGCATTGCTAACATCAGTGCTCCACAGACTGCTTTCCAGTTGTTTCTTTGGTACAATTAAGTGATGGGGTTTGACTTAGAAAACTTCCTGGGACTTAGATTACAAGTTTTAGAGAGATTGTATTTGACTTGTGTTACAGTAGAGCAGCTGAGGTCAAAAATATGTGTTAAGTGAAAGCCCTTTGATGTAGTGAAGGAGGTCTGGAGTTTGTGTGTTCAAGTGGGAGCATCAGCTCCAAAATTTGCTGTCTGCACTGGTTCAAGAGAAATGGGAAGATTTGGCCTTCTGAGTTTACCACGAAGTCTGTCCTTTCACACTTTGCTGAAAGAAGTCTCCGCAGAGAGCCGCAAGGCTTACATTAATGGAAGAGAAAGTATTCTAACATTGTGACAATTGGTTAATGTGTTTAATGGCTCTTGAATTTTGTATATGAGAAAAGAGCTCATTGTATGAGTGCATTTTACAAATGGATTTAAATGCATAGAATGCCTTTGGAAATTAGAGGAAGATTATAATTCTGGATTTGAAATATTGCTGAATGATAGCTCTGTTAATTGGACTTTTGAAGGTTAGCTTTGAAAAATTTCTCCTCTGTCTCAACAGTTTCTGTTTCTTCAGCATACTTATTGGGATCCCTACTGAGCCTTTATCAGAAGCCATGCTCCACAGGGCATTGCTCAAATAAAGAAGAAAAAAAGGAAAAGCTAGTTATGTAGATTAAGAAAATGTTTCTCTAACATGGGAGACATGATCTTTAGTACGCTCTGTGGCTGGAATGAGGTCAGTCCTTGAAAATGTAGGGAATTTAGCTGAAGAGAGTCTGGACCCCACTGAAGTGTTTGTACGTAGGGCTTTCTGCTCTGTCAGTGGGCTTGGAGGGGAGATCCCCTTTCTGTCTGGCAGCCTGGACAGTCACAGTGAAGGGGATGAGACAGTTGGATTTGGCCAGATCAAATTTAATTTGGCCTTTTCAGTGTTTGTTTACAAAATCTTGTTAGCTGTGATAGCATTTGATTATGTACCTGTTTTTTACATTTTTATATCTAATGACCTATTTTAAGTTACTATTTATGGTCTTGAACTTGCAATTAAATGCGCAGGCGCAGGGATGTATCTACATCTAATTGCAGGATCGTGGCTGTAAGAGTTTCTTAAACAGATATTAGTGGGACCTCCATGTGACAGGTGCACCTTGGGATCAAGCTTAGCGCAATACTGAATTTGTATATGTATTTTAAGGATATCACTTAAAGTGCCTGTCTCTTTGGGATATTATTATGTGAATAGGAGTCCAAATAAGATTTTTAGGATAATAACTTAAAGGATAAATTATTGTATTCATGTTTTTAAACTGAAGTACTTATAACTTTTTAAAGAACAACATTCTGAATTTAAGAATACAATATTTTCAGTACCTTGACCTGCCAAATCCTTTTAATATCCAAATAGCTATGCAGCCAAAAAAAACCCTTCAGAAACTATACCTTTTTTGTAACTTACCCACTTCCAGCATGACTGTTTTACATTGAGTAAGTGAAATGAAAATGCTGCACATTGTTCTGTCAACTCTCTGCATCATTCAAAATATCCTGTATTAGATCTTTTGAGCAAGGTTTTCTGATCAGAAATTCTGGACCACTACTAGACCTGGCAAACCTGCTTCAGTCTCACTTTAAAACATGCAGTGTAAAAGGTCCTCAGTCAACAGCCAAGAAACCTGAGCTGCTTGGGTTTTAGCACTTCTTTGTACTACAGAAACCCCTTCGGAATGGATGTTTGGCATATATGTAAACCAGCTTAACAATGCAGAAAGAGGGGGTTTTTCACCTAACAACAACTTTAATATTTATATCCTTTGCTATAAAAGTCCCTAGATATATTCCAGAACAATGCAGCATTTTATCATTCAATATATTTTTTCATATATCAGTAGCTATTTACAATATGATCAGTATTAAAGTATTTATTTCACTATGAAGTGTTAAAAAAGAATACAAACCAGATTGAATCAGTGGTGCCTTATGACTTCTTTAGTCAACTTTTCTGTGTCTCACTAGAAAAATTAAATTAGGCATGTCTCTTCAAAGTCCTGATGTAAATAGTGCTGACTAGCATTGTACAGTGTTTGAGCCAAGTCCTGCCGTTGTAATGTGCTCAGTCTGCTAACTTCAGATTGAGTTCAGTGTATGGAGGGACTACTGGATCAGTCTTTAAGTGAGGTATAAGCAGGCACTGGTTAGCCTTACCATCAGTTGCTCTGGAAATTTAATCCTTTCCCAAAACCAGTGTCTCACGCTTCTGTCCGTACAGCTCAGCTGACTTCAGTGTGGTTGCATAGGTTATTAGAAGACTAAATTTGATTCACTGCTTGCATATAAAATTTACTGGGTTTGTTTCAATGGCATTGTATTATAAATCTTCGCACCTCAAACGATCTTTTTATGTCATCACTAAGAATTGCATTGTGTGACAACGGCCATGGATGTTCATTTTTGTTTAATTCAAGTCAGTAAATAAAATGGGAATAACATTTGTGCCATGTGACAATAATGTCTGCTCGATATTTTTGGAAGAAAAGCACGTTATGTCTGTTATGACTTTCTACAGCAGCCGGTGGGAGAAGAGGTCACAGTAATTAGTGTTCAGAGTTGTTAAAGGAAATTCAGCTTGTGATTCAGGAAGCATGTATTTCTGTAAATGAACTACTTAAATAAGGTTGCCAAGTTCTTGTTTTCCCAACACTAAAAGAATCATAAGAATAATTTTTTTCTTCTGCAAGACTGAACTATTAAAGGAGTTCCTTAAATTGTCACTTAAAAAAATGGACAGTAGTTTCTCCTTGCAGCAACAGCTGTTTACATGTCACTTGTAGAAGTAGGTCTCTGTTGGAGCAGAGGATGAGGGAACTAAATGGCTGTCATGCTTCACATATATTCTAACACAACAATTTTTTGTGCAGAGTATGGAAATAGAAAGGGTACTTTTTGCCTTTGAAGCAAAGAATGGAGTTGAATGATCAAACTGGGATTCTTTCAAGCAGAACGTCAAATGTCAAGAGACCTAGAGAGGGCCCCTCATCCACAGGACACTGGAAAGGAGAAGACTCCTCAAGGAATTAAAAAACAATTGGCTGAATGTTACTATCAATACTAGAGTACAAATTAAGATCTAAAATGTGCATGTATGTAATACCACATCGCAACAGTGTGAACACTGTTGTCTCACAGGTGCAAACAACCTGTTATGGCGGTACATTGACTTTGTGTAACATATCTTGTATGAACTTTTATCTTTTGAATGGTATTCACAAAAAAATAAGGAGAATCTCTTAGCTGAGATATCCAGTAACACATTAAGTGTAGCTAGTTCATGGAATGGTTCTTCATGTGCTTTGGGAGAAAACAGGGATCTTGTGGCATGTAAGGTGGAAGTGTGTGGACCATTCAGTTAAAATGTAAACCTGGAGAACTGGCAAGAAGGGGAGTGTTGGAGTTACTCAGCAGAAGCAAGGCACATGTGTACGTTCTCAGTGAGTGAGTATGCAGCAGGTGGGTAGGCAAACTCAAAGAAAAAAATGGAAACTGCATGTCATAAAAAAGGGAGTAGCCCTTCAGTATGTTGCCATTTTGAAATACAGTTTGTGATAAATGTTTAGTGTAAACTAATGCATGCTAAGGAAGACCTCTAAATTTGGACTTCCAAAGCCACACAAGACTATGAAAGAGAGAGAAACATAACTTAAAACATAGGCTGAGCAGAAAATAACATTTTTTATCAGATGCTTAAAGTTTGAGCTTTTTATAAAATATTAATCTAGGTCTGTGAATATTTTTTAGCTTAACATTTATTTTGTATGTGATTTTGTTCTCCTTATTTTTTCTGTCCTATACCAAATAAATTTTACTTTTATTTAACTGGTGGTGCAGATTGTTACATTGAGAACAACCATGGTTGCTTCCTTGACAGAAACACAGGTCAGCTTTAGCAGGAGCGTAGCAGTGAGGCTGGTGAGAGCTGGGGTGAGTTGTTCTCCTCCCCTCCTGCCTGCCATTGCACAACAGCACGGCAGTAATGCTCAGACGACTTTGGGCCTCCATGCAGTGAAGATTAGACGCCTGCAGATAAGGAAAAATAATAAGTTTAGGATAAAGAAGGATTGAAAATCTGTGGTCAGTGACACCATACTTGAAGATGGCTGTTGTGTGAGCTGTGGCTCTTGTGAGCATTGGCTCTTGGCACAGCAAGGTAAGCACTTGCCATGGGGAAATGACAGGGAAAATCAATAGTTAAGCACAGATTTTTGTTTCTCTTTTTTGCACTCACTAGGCAGAAGGCTGCCAGAGAATATCAAACAAAAGAAACCCTCCTGACTTTGGAGCCCTGTTCTTGATCTTGGATGTTAACCTTTTCAGATAATTTGGACCAGGTTCATCACATTGATGAAAGTCCAAAGGAGGCTCAAATTCAGGCTTCACTTCCAGCTTCTCAGAAATTAGGAAGTCACTTAAAAGGCTGAGCTAAAAATCTCTATGCTGTAACTCAGCAGGTTTAGTCTCACACAGATGGTGGATCCTTCGACATCTATGGAAACTACTTGTTGATAACTTTTGTTTTACAGTCTGACTGGAACAAAGACCTCAACTTTCTTAAAAGTCCACCAACACTCATGGCTCAGATGTAGCCTAGAAGCCCACCATTCCCAGCGCCTGGGCTATATAAATAGAAGAGCCATGGAGGGCAGAGGCTGGGAGTTTGTGAGCTGTAAAGGAGCTCTCAGCAGGCTGAGAGACCTTTGTTTGCAGATCTTGATGACAGTAGCCTTGAACGAGAACTCAGAGGTATGAATCTAATGATCAGCTAGTAGGACTGTCTATCTCATGTTTTACCAAAGGAAGCATGGATCTTTCTGGTTTTCAAGAAATTAAATTGACTTCGGGGAGAGGGAACTGGACTGACCACAATGTAGTCCTTCCTCCATTTAACTCAAAAAACGCTGTTGCTTTAAAAGAAACCCACAGACTACACTGTAAACCAGTTCTGACTGCTCCCTGCAGTTGCAGGAAGGCTCACGTGTTGCACGTAGCACACACAAAAATATCCAACTCCTTTGATCATGGTTCAACAATTTCCAATGACCTTCCTGCCTTGTATGCACAGGCTGCTCCCTTCTGCCCTCTCACCTAGTCTGACTCCATTTAGCATTGAAAATAGTAAATAGGTCCTAGCCAATTATCAATTTGGGGCATAAATATTGGCCCATACATCTCTGTATAACAATTAATGTATTATTTAGGTTAACTAATGTAAAAGATCAAAAGCCTTCAGGATTTGTTTTTCTCTGGCTAACAGCAAGCATAATGAGCAATTCTTAACAGCTGTTTATGCTATTTTATGGTTCTCTGAGAATTACCCAAATATGTAATATGACGTAAGCTTGATTCCAGGTTTCATTTTCTGTTACACTCTCAGAGATCCCATACTTTTTATTTTATACATAATGAAACTGTGTGGTTTACACTTTTAAAAGAACTCATCCTTTTCACTTGTTGAATAGGAGTCTCTGCAATCCTTAAAAATTCATACTTACTCTTCCAAGCTGTGAGGGTCCGGTGCATATAGTGGCACGTCAACTTTAAAATCTTTTTTTTTTTTTTTTTCATAAGCAAAATGTTTCTCCCCATACACATTAACTTCTATCTATAAACAGAGCTGTGCCTGGGGTCCACTCCCCCTTTCAATTATATCACAATAAACATTTTGCAAAGCAAATGAGAGCCTCAAAAACCTTTTCTGAACCCTGCTCTTGTTATGTTCTGTACCCTGGTTGTTCTGCCTTTGGGGTATCTGTGCTGCTTGGTCTATGTGTTTTACACATATTTTACACAAATACAGACTGCTAATGAAAAAATTTGGTGAAGCATAAAAGTAAACAGGATGGCACTTTGTCTCCACACTGTAGATATTGCAGCAGCACAAGGAATAAAAAGCAATATGAATAATCTCCGTTTCTAATGTGAGCTAGTAAAAGCCTCTGAACACATGGATTACATCCACTGACTAACGTACAGGTTTTATAAAGACACTGAGCAGAACGTTTCACATTGTAGGATGATGTATGTGACTTCATCAATAATAACTTGCCTTTTTGTAACTCCTGAAAGCATTCCTCTAAGAATTAACTAATGCTGCCATACGTCTTGGAAGATGCTCATCTGATGACTCCCTTCCATTGCCTTTCTTGTACTTAGGAAATTTCCCAGTACAAGCTTCATTAGTCCAGTCATTTGCATCCTAGCAGTGTAAGCGCACTCTTCTTATATAGCGGACCTATGGTAAGCAGCCCTGCTAGCACCTCCCAAAATAAGGTAAAACTGCTTGTCTATTTTGCAGCTCCCAAAAGCTATAAGGTGGCAGCTTAAGGGAAAAGACAATGTCTCAGTTATGTAAAACTTTCAGTTTCAGTGGTCAAAACTCTTTGGGAAAGACTGCATAAAGGATTCCTTCTGTAGTGGATTTTTCAGTTGTGAAACTAAAATAGCTACTGGTTTATTCTGTTCTATCATAGGTAATGGAAATAAATGGACACAGATACTTGTATGTTAAAATTCAGATACCCAAGGATCTTCGCTTCAACAGAATTAGGACACAATCATTTGAAACAGCTACAAGCCTGCACACTTTTGTTATTTCTTGCATTGGCAATCAGGATCTTAACCTATCTAAAAATTTCAACAGCAGTCCAGGTACAGAAGTAATCCCGAGGAAAGGATGACTGATACAAAAATACTTTGATTAAAACACAGAGAATAAATTGGTTGGCTGCTGCTAACACTACCTGTGTCCAACATCAGTCTGTCTACTAAACAAAAACATCAGTTCAGCTAATCACTACTTCAATCTTAAAACATGTATTTATGGTTTAAGATACAGCCTCTGCAGAAGATACATTTACAATGTAAAATAGTAATCTATCATGAGTACTGTCCATATGATATCGTAAAACTATCTACACCACCACAATAGGGCACTTTTTCATAATTTTTCCTCTGGTTTTACCATTCTTTTTTTCTTCTTCAATTAAAAAAAATATTTCTTCAATAATGCTAGGGTTTAGACTACATAAATACCATTGTCATTTTGAATATGAGACGGTTCTTGTTATTTAATTTTTTGCTACAATACAGCAGAAATCTCTGCCTAAGCACCTGTAAGGTAAAAGCAAGCAGAGGGACTGGGGATGGAGGGGCTGTTGGTTGCTGTTTATCCTTCCTCTCACCAAAACAGGACCCACTGATCCTTCCCTGCAGCTGGGAGAGGGTTTTATCGCTGTGCAACTCCCCTTCCAAAACCATTCCTTTCCCAAAGATGACTGCTTGGGTTACCTTTTGCATTTACCTGTGTGCAAATTGTTCAACTCCAAGCTTGCCCAAACATTGTACACAAGGCACATAATCAATTCCCTTCTGAAAATGTTTGTGTTCACGCAAAGATGGGTATTTAGGCAGTTCTTCATCTCACATGCTACCCAACTTGAAGTAAGCCTTCATGGGTAAAGGGCTGTGAAAATGAGTCTCTCTTGTCCTTCTCCATTCTAGCAGAAATGTTGGTGCCTTCAGTCACTGGTGTGCCCTCATGCGCCCTATCGAGCAGCAGAGCCCATGCAGCAGAAGGCTGAGCACTCCCAAGCTGTGAGAGCAAAGGGCGGCTGAACCACTCAGAGTGCTTGTGAGGAAAGCAAGGTAAAGGCTATGGGTGAAAGTCTAGGCTTAAAACCCAGCCTCTGTCATAGGTATGTTGATACTAGAAGTAGCATACCTCATAAATATCGTTCATTGTGCTGTTTGTCATAGACTGCAGAGCCCCTTAGTACTTTCTGTGCTGCCTGAACACGAGCCCTTGCTGCAGACTGCTGAAACACCCTTCTGTTGAGGTGTTGGGTTTTTTTTTTCTCCCTATTTAAAATAGAAACTTTCACTTCTGCTATTTGGCCAGTCACTTGGGTTACTTGTGAAACTCTGGGACCTTTGTTTGAAAACATACAGATATCTTATTTGTTTCCTCTAAATATACAGACCATTCTTCTCAGCTGTGCCTGCAGAACTGCTGTGCCTTCATCCAAACACCTATCAGCTGTGGGGTTGGTGTGTTTGCTCCAGATTATTGCTGATTTAAAAACAAAAATCCTGCTGTGTGCTTTAAGAGAATCCACCACATACACTCTATACCAGCAGCTTCGTTCCTCCCTCTCATATACATACTGCTGGCTCCTGTAGTGGGGTGGGGAATAGTAAATCCATTTTTTAGCTGCAAACATTTCTAATATAAATCCAAGTGTATGTATCATAAAATGAGGCACTTCGTGTGTTTGTGTTTGCTTTTAACTAAGGAGGTGGGAATGGGTATGAGGCACCTCCAGTCTAGGAATTTCCCTTTGTGTTGAAAATACTCCACCTCTGATGCAAGAGAAGCTTTGTGTCCCCTAAATTATCTAGACTTTGCATTCTAAGCAATCAGAGGCTCGCTACATTATGGAAGAGCATATTAGACAGCCAATTAACAGCAAGAACATCCCCTGCAATCATCACCCGGGAATTTTCTTTTAAACGTTTGTCTCTAGAGCTCGCTTCTTTTATTATTTTTTTTTAAACTAGAGTTTATTCCCCGCTCCCATTTTCATACAGGAAACAGTTCATTTTTACGAAAGGCTCTCCTTTCCGCGGCGGGTGACCGTTAAGAGCCCGATGGCGGAGCCGGCCCAGCCCTGCTGCGCCCGGGGCCGCGGGCCGGGCGGCGCTCACGCAG